CAGTGAGCGGGAACCGGTCTGTATGTGGGATCCGAACCCTCGGTGGGAGTGCCTCCGCGCTCCCAAGCGGCGCACTGTAGCAGTGCGCCACCGGCCGGCCCTCAATTTTTTTAAAATGGTATTTTGTAGTAAGAACTACAGTTTACATCACAACCCAATATACTCACACATATAAGCAAAAATTTTATGAAATAATACTGTTCCTCACTAATGTGAGATGTACTCTATTCTCAATTTTAATATATTGCCTTGTGAACACATGCTGGTTGTGACCATCATATGCCATGACTTTTGACTGGAAACTGACATAACTTGTCTGCAGCTGTGGCAACCTTCTGGGGTGCCCACATCTGGGCACTCCTCCCCCTCCCAGCAGCTCTAGAGCCTTCTGTTTCCTTGCATGCCTCATGGCTCTGGCCACCATAAGTATGTTCAGAAGAAACTTTAGAAGCAGCTGCAGCAGTTTTCACCTCCCTCTATTGCCCCTTGGGGATTAGCTGATGCTGCCCAGGTTGTCCCAGTAAAGGGAGGAGGTGGCCCAGCTGCCTCGTTAGAGGGGAAGAAAACAGACTGTACACATGGGAAGCCTCCCCGAAAGTTTCTTCTGAGGCTCATTAGGAATGTCCAAAGCCAAATGTTGCTTGTTATTGTTATTCTTGTTATTAAAAATAATAATAAACCAGTTACTAAGTCAGATTGAGTTTGGATGACAGAGATCAAAATCAACCTAGAGACTTAATACTATGGTGATAACTACAGAAGAGGAATAAATTAGAATACCTTCTGCTTGTAAGTAGTTTTAATCTGTAAAATGTTCTCATGCCCGTTGTCCCACGGCCACCTTGTGTGTGGTGGGTGGTGAGGGGACCATTGCCCTTCCCATTTGATATTAAGAAGGCAGGTGTCCTAATATAAAGTGATTTTCTGACTATGAGTGCCTCACAAAGTGATGAATCTCTATCATGGGGGAAAGTGAGATAGAATAACCAACTGCAGAAGATGCTACACAGGAAACTCCCAGAATGAATAGCAGATGATTCAGATTAAATTGTCCTTAATGTTTTGGGGCCACACTCTTCTGAGTGGAATAAGAGCTTTAGACCTGATCAGGAAAAAAAAAATAGCATCAAATCATGACATCGTTGCCTATACAAGGGTGCTTCAAAAATTCATGAAAAGATTCATATTATCTTTTAATTCTGTTTTTCCATGAGCTTTCTGAAGTGCCCTCTTACTTTCAGTGAGTTCCTGTATCTTTCAAACACATCGAGCCCATGCTAAGGGCTTCTAGCATGGGAAATCTCTTCCAACCTCTGTCACTGACGGGCTTTGTCTGAGTCCTAGGTCACATAGGCAATTGGTGAAAAGGTGGACCTGGAATCTAGGTAGGCCAGGCCTCTTTCATCAGATTTGGCTTCCATGTGTCCCCATAGTGGTTTCTGCTTCCCTTGAGCACAGATTGTGAATTGGTTTGTAACCAGCCTTGCAGCAGTCCTGCTCCCAACAAGCTCTGTGCCTGTGTGCAAGTTAGACCCTCAGTAGGAGGACCCAAGACTTTGGTCTTCTCCCTAGTGACGTATCTCCTCTGTTAGGCTCATGACTATGACTAGCTCTGTTTCCTTGGAATGGAAAATAGTTTCTCCATTATGGTGCCTCTGGTTGAACTTTATACCCACCCATCTAGTTTTGAGTTTAAAAAACAGTGACCCTTGGACTGAATATAGCCCCAAGATAGGTCTTGTTTGACCTGTAAAATGTGTTTTAATTATTTTAGTATTAGTTGTCAATGCTCGAAGATGAGAGATTCATACACAAGTTTGGATTTCTGATTTCACTTAGAAAATGAGATTATCTGACAACTTTGGTCTCAAATTCTCATGAAGCAACAGTCTACTAGAGCTGAGCAGTGGCTGTTGCCTCTGGGCAGCCACAGCCTCTCGGGCTCCCTGTTGCTCACCTCGGGCTCACCTAAGTCATTTATGCTACCCACCTGGTGTCAGGGCATTTGAGTTTTTGGTTCCTGATCAATACCTAGTATTTGTCCACCCACCGTCCTTTCTCCTAGCTCACACCACTCTACCTCAACACATTCCACTTTGTCCGACAAAGGGCTTGAAGCTGATTATAGGAAATAAATGTAATAACATAAAAAAAGGTAAGGCAATAAGAAAAACTGCCTCAGAAAATGTTGGTAAGATTACGAGGTCAAGACCATGGGGAAAAAGAGAACATAGACATTCAGGCCATTTGTCTGAAGCAATTAATACACTTGAGCCACAGTTCGGCTCTGGTTTTTTGCATATGTTTTATTGCCCATGAAAGAAAAGCATATCAGTCTCTCAGGGGGAGCAAAGCTTTCCCTGTAACTTATCTCTAAAAGAACATTTCCAATTGTTTCTATATAGGTGGGGTTTTGTTAACAAGGGGCACAGAGAGCTGGTGAGTGGGAGACTAATGACTTGATTAAGAAGCTCTTCCTTTGCAAGTAATGTGAACAAAGCAGTCAAGTTATTTTAAACCTTTTTTTTTACCTCTCTGATACTGGTAATACCACCAGGCGATGTCTAGGAAAAAGTGAGAAAACATTTTACCAAATCCATTCATCATAAAAGCAAAATACACTTTCATTGTCGACGGAGAGGCCACTTTGAGGGTGTCCAGCTTATGCGGTCCAGCTCGACAGATGCGAAGAGGCCTCTCGTTAGCAGAGCTGGGGCTGATCTCTTCCCAGGGTCAGAACAGGCAAGAGCAATGGGTCACCTTGCAGTGGCCACGGCTCCCAGCAGGGGGCTCACTGAGCATGCCCGCAGCCATGCAGTCATGCAGCCTGAAGAGAGATGGGATGGCACATGGCAGAGAATGCACGGACGTGAATGGGTCCTTGGAAATTCCCGCGTGGTTGATTGCAGAGTGATTGCATAAGATACCCTCCACAGTGAAGATGCCCCTGTTACCCTCTGCCCCCCTGCTTTTTTGTGATCTGAAGCTGCCTATTTTGTAGGATTATTTATTCACTCACTCAACAACTATCAATGAAGTATCTACTATGCAAGTGTCAGTGAATAAAACAACTCTGTTGCCTGCTCTCATGGAGCTTACAGTCTCCAAGTCTTTGCTTCTCTCTTCCCTTCTTAAGCTTGACAAGTAACTCAGTTGCAGAAAAGGAAAAGGGCTGTTGAAGAAAAGAATTAGCACATTTGGACATGTGGCAGAACGGATGCAGCTAAATCCTCTGTTGTGCTGAGGATAAAACACAACACAAAATATCAGACCTGGAAAACCATCCATGGCATGGTGGAGTTGGGTGGGTCCAAGGTCCCATGGAGCTCTACTAGGTGTTCTCCTGCTTTTCTGTCAAGTCTGTTTGGTAGTCAGCCAGCTTTTCCTTAGCAGGCCCTTATTTGAACTTCCTCCTGTCTTACCAGTACCCGTGACCAAGAGTGTGTAAGGCAGCCCATCTGCCGTCTTAAGTGTGTTTTAGTCTCTGCCCCCCAACTCCCAACCCCAGACAGGAGGGGCTTATTTTCCTGCTGCTTCTAAAAGTGATAGTATAGGTGGGTATCCACCGGTAAGTGTTTCTGCTCTTGTCTCCTGACCTGAATCCCATGCAAGAAACTTATTTTGCTGAATTTAGTCACCCCTTCGATTACTCTGGTTAAGTGGCATTTGTATTTATTTATCTTTACTAATAGATTTTACTTTTAGAGCAGTTTTAGGTTTTCAGAAATAATTGCACAGAAAGCACAGAAAGTTCCCGTACAGCCCACTCTCACACCTTCCTCTCTTATTAACATCTGCATTGGGGTGATACATGTGTTACACATGATGAATCAATATTGCTATATTAACTATGTTCTGTAGTTTACATCAGAGTTCACTCTTTGTGTTGTATAGTTCTGTGGGTTTTGACAAGTGTATATCATCATGTATCCACTGTTACAGTATCACATTGAAGTTCACTGTTCTATGACATATGTTCTTAGGTAGCATTTTCATAGACATATGTCTACAAATATGGATTGACCTTCTCTGGCATGCCAGAATGTGATAGGTATTGGGAGAGAGATGAAAAGACATAATGTTTGTTTACATGGAGCTCTAAGACTGATACAGGGGCACATACATAGACCAGGGGTTGCAAACTCAAATGTCAATAGCCATTAGCGGGTAATTTAGATGAGCACAGTGAGGAGTGTACAACTACAGCGGACTGAGAACTGGAGAGCAATTGCCCCATGAAAGGAGAACAACTGTTAATTAGCCAGTTGTTGTCATGCAGAAATTTAAGCCCAGAGAGTCAGATCTTTGCATTTTCTAAGAGATGCCATAATTAAAAGATTGTTTGTTTCTTCCTTTTTCCCCCCCATGGCTCTGGTAACAGGAATCAAACCCTGGACCTCCAGTTATCAACACCATGCTCTAACCAACTGAGCTAACCAGCCAGTCATTTGTTTTCTAATTCTGAACTGTTACCAATAAATTTAACATTAAAATATATGCCAGATATAGCATGCTGGTGGCTAGGGTGATGTGGGCTGCTAGTCTGGAACTCTTCATTGGCAAATCATTTCAATGCAGTGTGGATATGGCTAAGAACTGGAAGCTGAGGGGATGAAACTCTTAATTAATGCTGCCTGGATGTCATAAGACAGGAAGGCGCATCAGAGAAGGCTTCAAGGGGTGGTGATAATTTGGTGAGACTTAAGGGAAGAGGGGACAGGAAACAGCATATGCAAAGGCACAGAAGCTGAGAGACCCAGGAAGGGTGAGCTGTCTTGCAGAAGAGCTGAACTCCCACTGAGAACAACTAAAATAGGGGGATTAAAAAAAAAAAAAACTCATCTGTTTGAAGGCATTGGAGAGCTATCAAGGTAGCCTGCCTCAAAACAGCTCAATCCCTGTCTTAATCCCTGATTAAGTTTATCTGCCTTTACCTTCCAGAAGTTGACAACTCAATCAGATAGTTTATGCATTTTTATGCTAATGTTCACCATTCAATGAAACTTTGTCAGGCATATTAAAAGACAGGACCAAGAGAAAACATAGAATATAGTAGTAGGTCTATTGGTGACCCAGACATTGGATCAGGCATGGGCTTTAAAATAATAGTGAACATATGCTCAAGAAAATAGAAAAAAGCTGGAGAATTCCAGCACAGAACCAGAATACATACAAAAAAGTCAATTAAAAATTCTAGAATTGAAAAATGTATTACCCAAAATTAACAACTAAATAGATCAATTTAACAGCAGGTTAGACACGGATGAAGGAAGAATTAATAATTTGGTAGATGGGTCAATAGAAAAATAAACAGACTGATGCACAGAGAGAAAAAAGAATGCAAAATACAGGTGAGAGCATAAGAGACATATGGGATATTAAATTAAGTTTGACTTAAAGGTTTCTTTGGACATAGTGAACTGTAACCTAACCTGATGTGTAAACAGACTGTAACCTACTGTTGTAGAAAGCAGCCAACTGTTCAAACCAGGAGCCAATAAGACAAATGCCCAACCGTAGCCAATTCAGCTGTTTCTGAACCTCACTTCTGTTTTCTGTAAGTCACTTTCTTTTTTCTGTCCATAAATGTTAAGTCTGGCCATGTGGCAGCCCTGGAGTCATGCTGAACCTGTTCTGGTTCTGGGGCCCACCCAATATGTGGATCATTCTTTGTACAATTAAACTCTGTTAAATGTAATTTGTCTAAAGTTTTTCTTTTAACAGGGATGTGATGAAAAGTTTTAACATATACGTAACAGAAGTCCCCAAAAGGGATAAAGATAAAGAATAATGTGAAGCACTATTTGAAAAGATATATTTAAAAATGGGTGAAATGTATCAAGCCACAGATTCAAGAAGCACTACAAACCCCAAGTGGGATAAATACAAAGAAAACCACATATAAGAACATCATAGTAAAACTGCTGAAATGCAAAGACAAATAGAAAATCTTCAATACATCATAACAATCATCACGTAAAAACTAAACCCTAACTAAATGCCATTTGCCACAGAAAAGGTAAAAGAAAAATGATTTAAAAGGATACACCATGCAAACACAAATCAAGAAAAGCTAGCATGGCTATGTTCACATCAGATAAAGTAGATGTTAAGGCAGGAAGCTTTGCTAGAGATAAAGAGGGAGTTTTCATAGTGTAAAAAGGTCCATCCACTAGGAAGATTCAACAATTTAAAATTAGTATGCACTGCTAATATAGTTTCGAATTCATATGAGGATGCTTCAAAAAGTTTGTGGAAAAATAGACTTGAAAGATAATATGAATCTTTCTAAGAATTTTTTTAGGTACCCTCGTATAAAGCAAAGACTGACAGAACTAAAAGGAGAGATAACAAATTCACAATCATAACTGGAGCTTTTAAAACAGCTCTCTCAGTAATTGATAAAACAAGCAAACAAAAAAAAGTCAGAAGGATACAGAAAAGCTGAGCAACACAATTAACAAATTTGGCCTCGCTGGCACTTACAGAGCTCTGCACCAAACAACCACAGGTTGCTACACATTCTTTTCAAGTGCACATAGAACATTTACCAAAATTGACTATTTCCTGGGCCAAAAAACAATCTCAATAAAGTTCAAAGAAATGAATATTTTTAAAGAATGTTTTCTGCCCCAAATAGAATAAAGCAAGGTATCAATAACAAAAAGAAAACTAGAAAATCCTGAAATGTCTGGAAATCAAGCAATATGGTTCTAATTTCTAAGTAACCCATGTGTCAAAAAAGCAATCTTGTGGAAATTAGAAAGTATTTTGAAAAAATGACATAGCAATACTTGTGGGATGTTGTTAAAACTGCATCCAGAGGGAAATTTAAAAGAGCATGATGTACTTGAGCTGCAAATAATTTACAAGACAGTGCACATAAAAAGCACAGAATGCTGTGCTTCCTCTTAAAATCCTATGTCTAGTATTTCCACTGGTTCATTTTCAGTGTTGCCTGAACTATGTTGGTTGCATTAGAAAGTATATTAGTGATGGCATGCCGGTGCTTGAAAATGTAATTTTTTTCTCTCTCCTTAGACATGGTTGATTGGTTTGTTCTGAATGAGTTTAGCACCATCTTTCTGATTGACAACTTCCCCCGATATAATCAAGGGTGAAGAGGCTTGTTGGTGCCTGCGTGGAGCAGAGCAGGGAAAGTCCCATTTGGGCCTTAAGACTTAAGGGCTTAGATTCTTACGGCTGAGGATGGAGGTGAGTCATATACCCACTCAGACACACACAGCGCACACAACTCATCAGCTCTGAATTTTATAAACTTAACGATGAGTCCCGGGAGAGCTGAGCTGAGTGTTCCAGATATTTTTTTCAGTCTTCTTGGTTCAATAAAACTCAAATCATGTTTTGCTCCAAGCATTTGTTCTCTTAATCTTGAAACCCCTCCTGCCCTTTTTAAGCAAAATCGAATCTATACATTTCTCATTCATTTATACCTCAGTCCTGAAAATGTTCTGAAAAAACACAGTTCTACAAAAAATATCTTTGAGCACTGCTACTTCCATTAGATGGAAGGTTTTCAAGATAAAATGACTTGAAAATTCTT